CACTATAAGACTGAACAACATAATCCACAAACCTGATCTAACAGACATCTGTGGAATGTGGTATCCAAAACGGAAGGACACGATCTTTTCAACTGAGGCAGGGTTTCAGAAAACTGTCCACATATCAGCTTACAAAGTAAGTCTCAGCAAACCTAAAAACATGATATTCTCTGACCTCAGAACAATTATGTTAAAAATCTCTAACAAAGAGAAAACTAATTCTAACTGCTGCTCTGCTCCCTTAGCTTGGAAATTTAAAATAATACTTCTAGCCAAGATTAAAATAGAATTAAAATTCAAAAATAGAAAACTGAAGAATAATTAAAATACCATTTGTTAAAATATGGGCAACACAGCTAAAAAGACACTCAGAGGGAAATTCGCAGCCTTAAGTGTTCATATTAGAAGACAGAAAGGTTTAGAATCAATGAACTATGTAAATAAAACAAGTTTAGAGTCCAAATTACTGCAAGAGAAAGCAAGGATATAATGAGCACTACTAAAGTCAAAAGTTGATTCTCTGAAAAAGACTCTGGCAAGAAAAAAAGAATAAAAATACAAACAAGCAATAGTAAGTACAAAAAAGGGCCACATAGCAGCTGAGGTTGAAGTAATAAAATAAAACTATTATAAAACAATTTTACGCCAACAGATTTGAAAATTTAAGCAAAATGGGCAAAGTCCTAGAAAAAGTTGTAGTCCTAGATGACTACAACTAACAGGAAGCAATAAAAAAGCTGAATGGTTATATAACCATTAAAGAAATTGGACCAGTCATTAACAGTCATCTCATAAAGAAAATGCTGGGCTTAAAGAGTACAACACAAGCTACAGATCAATGTTCCCACAATAGGGCTCCACAGTAAGCTGGCATTGAATGTTTATTCACTGAATGAGTGAATCAACAGACAAACTACATGAAATGTTCAAGGAAAGATGAGCAGGTGAGCAGGCTAAATGATGAGGTGTTGGAGTAGGGGCCAAAAAGCCATGAGAGAAAGAGGCAAGGGAGCCAGATGAAAATCCTACACAAACGCCAGCCTACGGAGCTTAGCTCTTCAGGCATAAGGAGCCTGAAACACAAGAGGAGGAAGAACACCAAGAGCAGCTCTGGGTTTTTGAAAGCCCATCCTGGACACTCTGGATGGTAAGTTGGAGAGGGGAAACATTTAGACATTAAGCAAAGCACCCGCGAGGAAGGTCCCTACCACTTCACGGCTGTCAGATGATGCAGAAGGGCTGAGCCGGGACGGGAACAGCAAATTAGAGAGGTAGAGAGGGATTTGGAAGATGGTTCAGGGGTTGAGTTGAGAAGAAAGACTGGCAAAAACCATCATGAGGAATGACGTCAAGAATAATTCCCAGTAATGGATGAATTGATTTTAAAAATGTGGTACATATACACAAGAGAATACTAGACAGCCTTAAAGGAGGAAATTCTGCCACCTGCAACATGGATGGTGCTGGAGGACCTTATGCTAAGTGAAATAAACCAGGCATGGAAAGACAGATACTGTGATCTCACTTATATGTGGAATCTACAAAAGTCATTATCACAGAAACAGAGAGTAGAATGGTAGTTACCGGGGCTGAGGGGAGAGTGGGGCCGGGAAAGGGGAGGTGTTGATCAAAGGGCATGGCATGGTAACCACAGTTAATAATAATGCATATTTCGAAATTGCTAAAAGATTTTTAATGTCCTCTACAAAATGTAAGCTGGTGAGGTGATGACCGACTCTTTCTACAACGCATACATAGATCAAACATCACATTGTGCACCACAAATACGCACAATTATTGTCAATTAAAATGAATAAACAAAACAGAAAAAAGGGGGCATTCCCAAGTTGTGGCTTAGTGGTTCACAGTGGCTGCTGACTGAGGCGGGTTAGTGCATTATAGATTATTTTATTTTATTTTATTTTTTAGACTTCCCAATACTTTTTCTTTTTAAAAATAACAGTTGGGTCTTACTTTTATAAGTTGAAAAAAAAATGCATGACTGGAAAAAGACATCTCCAGGACTTGAGCAAAAGCTAAACGGTATGGGCAATACTAATGAAAATGCATGCACGTGGCAGGACGCTCCCTGTTGGCACGTACCGTCTGGATTAAAACAGCACCGAGTCCACCAAAGGTTTATAATGGGGCTTATTTTTAAGGAGGAACCTTGTGGAACACGATGATTTGGATACCCTGATCTCAAGAATTACCATTCAATGTGGTTTCATAAAGGCGGAAACAATGCTCACTAACCAGCCAGCTTCATGTCCTGTTTTCATTTCTTTGGTGTGCAGTGGACCCTTGGCCAACACGGGTCTGAACCACATGGGTCCACTTGTACACCCATTTTCTTCCACCTCTGCCACCCTGACACAGCAAGACCGACCCTCCTCTTGCTCTTCCTCAGCCCATTCCACGTGAGGATGAGGAGGATGGAGACCTTCATAAGATGATTCACTCCACTTCATGAATAGTGTTACTACACTTTCTCTTCCTAATAACTGTCTTAACATTCTCTGTTCTCCAGCTTGGATTACAAGAATACAGTATGTAACAGATACACAAAATGCATGTTGATGCGCTGTTTTATTCATAAGGCTTCCAGCCAACAGGAGGCTACTAGTAGCTAGGTTTTGGGGTAGTCAAGAAGTTATACTCAGATTTTCGACTGCACAGGGGGTTGGCACCCCAACCTCTGAGTTATTTAAGGGTTAACTGCATTCTCAAGAGACCAGTTTTGTTCTTGAAGATGCGTGGTGCTGGACCAGAAAGCATCCCGGATTGAGAACGAGGAAATGTAATTTTGAGTCCTGCCTTGCTGTGCTGCTGACAGGTCAAGTCCTTGGCCTCTCTGGGTATGTTTCCCTAGGAAGATTATGGAGCTGATGATACCATCCCCGATTTCGTCCCAGGACTATGTGTACCAAATAAAAGTGTACGTATAAAATCATTCTAGCCTCGAGCGTCACTGACCATTACATTTTAATAATCCCCTAAAAACATGCATTTGTCTCCTGTTCCTATATTAAGGCGAATTTATCTCCATGGTCCAAGGTGAGGAACAGGTGAAGGGAATGAAAAACTGGCCGTTTCGTGCTTCTCCTGGCATAAGTACCTTAAGAAAGCAGGAGGAAATATACCCAGAAGACACACTTGGCCAACCCTGGCTCACACCAGAGGAGTCTGAGAGAAGGTCCGACACCCAGTGACATGAGGATGCCAGTGACACGAGGTCCCCCTATGAGAGACCCTCATCTTCAAGTGCAGAAACAGAGAGAGAATGAACAAGCCATCCACTGTGACCTCTGACCTCTGACTTTTCCGGGATCGATGCCTCTAGAATTATTTGTCATTTGGAGGGAAAACTATAAAAAACAGTGGCAGTCAGCAGACCTTTCCCTTTGATGCCAGAAATAGATTTTACTTGGTTGGAATCATGAAAGTAACAGATTCACAAATTAATAAAATCAGTGCATACGTTATCATCTAAATCGAGTTTACTATCTATTCATTTTAAACACAACTGAATTTCAAAATATTCAAGATGGTCGATTAAAAAAAAAATCCAAATTCTGAGTGGGAAAGAGCCTACCATTTATACTGCTACATCTCCAGACCATCTGTACTACCTTGGTCTCAAAATGATCTGGACAAAGACAAGGAAGGATATGAAAAAATATTTTTAAAAATTAATTTAATTATACTTCTTAATGATATAAAGTGAAGCAACAGTTCCTACTTAGTACTGCAAAAAACCTAGAGAAAACCAAACTTGTTGCTTCTTTTACATGCAATTCCTAATCATCTCACATATTTTAAAATAAATAAAATTCCTCCAATAAATACATTCATGTCATTACTGTTGTTACACAAAAACAAAGCAGCCACCTTCTACAAATAGCCACTTTTTTACTGCAAGATAGCACTTTGCAATTCTTAACACAAAAATTTCTGGAAATAAACTAGACATTTGACCCCAAAGGCTTAAGTCACAACATTTCTCATCAGGATGATTAATCTTTACGAAAAGGCAGGAAAACAAGACAGGGCCGCCCACTTTGACATTTTCATTCTTTGACAAAAAAATCCCAATGTAGTTCATGAACTGGAACCACCATTTATAAAAAGTAGGTAATCCTGAGTGCATGTCGATTGTAAGATTAACCAGATCATTATCGTTCTCATTCTTTGCATTGAGAAAACTGTACTGACATTAAAAAGTGGTACTAGCATAGTTTTACTGAGAAATCTGATAAACCTTTGCCCAGGAACCAATCAACCTTAATAACAAGGTTACTTCATTTTTTCCTTTTCTGCTTAGTTGAAAAATATATAAACAACAAAGTGTAACACTAAGAAAACTCACTCCATTAATTTCTACCAGTGTCCCTTTTGCCCAGCCTTTCTGTATGCCGTGACTGGAGAGTGGGGAGGCCACAGTTTTCAGGTAGGACGCAGAGCGTCCCGCAGCTGTTCTGAGCCAGCGGGGGGGGGGGGGGCGCGGCGCACGCGCGCATGCGCAGAGCAGCAAAGCAAAAGCATCCCTGAGGTCACACAGAAAGGGAGAGAGGCAGGAGCGGTGTGAAGAAGCAGGAAGAGGTTTTCTGCAGCCTCAGGGAGGTTTTTGCTCTGGCTGTATCTAAAGCGTTCACCTAAAACGAGTCAAACATGAGGTGATTCTGAAAGATCTGGGTTTGCTGCCTTTCCCTCCTCATTTTCTTCCCTCACTTTTCCACAGCTCAGGTGAGGAGTGAACCAGCTCTAACCTTGAGGGAGTTTTGCTCTAGAGAAAAGAAAAGAGTATCATATTAGCCGTTCAAGGTGAACCACGGGAAGGAAGGGAACCGTCCAAAGGTGGAGCGGGGGAAGCGGGGAAGCAGTGTGGGCGTGGGCGGCACGCAGAGCGAATGGGCACTGACAGCAGAAGAACACAGGTGAGGAAACAACCTGAAAACTGAGCTGGTAAAACCACCGACGTGTGCATTGAACTCGCTTACCTGTGTTATTTTTTCTATTCCCTGGAAGTTGTGCTTTTCAAAGTGTTCTGCGATATTTAGGAAGGTGTGACGTTCTAGGAAGCAGCAATTACTTAGGACTATCAAAAGGCGCTGTTCCTAAAAGCAAACACAGTTTTAGAAAATCACATTTATAGTGCTAGAGAGAAGAGCTGATTAACACTGGCCAAGTTTAATTATAATCTCTGCTCTTTAACGTCAATATTCAATGCTTTGCTTTTCTTGGCTGCTTCTTTCCCAATATCATAACATAAAGAGAAACACAATAAAATCCTGCAACTTCACTATTTGCTTAGAGTTACATGCAATATACTAAAGAATCAAGTATTTCCTTTAAAACTTAACAGCTCGTATGGAAAAACAGATTGATAAAATCCCATTAACTAGGATCAGTTGGGAACTGGGATCAGTGTTTCTTATGAAAAGTGTTCTACTATATTGTTTACTGAATACTTTGTATACAAGAAAAGGCTACGGGAATAAATATTTTAAATAATTAATTACATTTAAAATGTAGAAACTATTATAAAATAGTTCATAAATTTTTTATAACTTGGAAGAGAATTATACTGCCATACATCTGTATGATGGGCTCCTTCAAACACCTTAGGCCATTAAGAATTGTTTGTGTTTGCGGAAGAAAACAAGGAACAATCTCCCTCTAATGGGCAGTGAGGGTCACTGAGGGTGGAGGACTCCAGCTTAGGCTGTGGTCAGTGTAGCCAACAGGAAAGGGTACAAGCGAGTTACTTCTACATTCTCCAGGGTTCTGTCCACCTAAAGTAATTTCTTACAAAAATTACCAGACACAAATGCTAATAAACACAGTATCCTTTCACAGTTCAAAACCACTTGGTAAATAAAATTCCAGGAACTGCCCTGATGCTGCTGGTGCGGTTCACCAGGGCGCCTGACCCATGCTCCCGCAGGCGGTGGCCTTTTCTGGAACAACTTTGACTAATCTAGAGCCTTGACTTAGATCCTTTGACTAAACCTTTGGCAAAAAAAACCCTTTCCATCACATACTCTGCATGCTCTTTCTGTGCATAACCAGAACAACTTATAGTAAAATAATTCGATATAGTAAATGTGGATATGTGAAAAAAAGATAACATCCTTGAATTTAATTGCCAAGCATATTTTATATCTCCCAATACTTTCATTTAGCTCAACAGTTTCCAAAAACTTTCTAGATTCTTTTATTTCAAATGTTCCCATCTTTATTTCTGGCAGAGTGTACAGCCTATTCACTACCTGCTTTTGGTCAGCAAATGTAAATAAAAGGCCTAGGGATTATTAAAGGATTGTCAAACAAGTGAATGGCCTTGAATTACCCTATAGATAGGAAATGGGGTATAAGACAGGGTAAATAGGGTTGTATTATGTATAATACTCCTCCACATTTCGTGAATAAACGGCCAGAAGGAAAACAGTGAATAAGCACTGGAAACCCGTCCAGGTGAGGTAGGGACGAGGATGCAGCATCCCCTCCAGTCCCTGGGCCTGGAATTACCATGACACAGTCCCTGCAAGGACAAGGAATAACTAACCGTGACATTTCATCAGCTGCCCTCAACACGCTGTTTGCCTCAAAAACCTCAGCTGGTTGCTCAGTTTTGAAAATCAATCCTTAATTACTTTTTCCTTCCAGAGTCAAGCCTCCTTATCTTGCAGACCTGAGCCTGCCACATCTCCGCCCTGTTAATTCTCTTTGTTTTTCCCATTGTAATTTGCACGGCTCTTGAAACACAGAAAAGCTATTTGAGTGATTTAAAGTCTGACTCCTACAAGCACACTGTTGCTCAAATCTAATCATTCAGACGCAGTAAAAGTGGAAAGAAAAACTGAACAGCGTAGACTCTCAACCCTGGATGACTAATCAGAAGCTTATTAACAGCTACGATGGAGACGTGTATTTGAAAACAGCAGCTCCACCTATCAAACGCAGCACGTGCAGGTGACGAATACGGTCTCATGTTACTTCAGTGATTCCCCACAGCATCTCTATGATGCAGGCGTCACCACCACAGTTTTGTTCAGGAGAACACGGGGCCTGTGCCCGCTCAGCGATGTGCCCGAGGTCACACAGGATGTGATCCAGTGTCTTCTGACTCCGAATCTAGATATCCTTCTTACCATAGCTGCTTCCCTTCTGGATAACAGAACAAGACCCTGAGAAGATCGCACCAAATCTAATGAGATAGCTTTCAATGGAGAATACAGAGGAATTGAATTTGGTCACAAAAAAACCCTGGAGAGTAAGGCGGGAGAGAGGAGGCCCTGCAACCTGCAGAGACACACGTGAGGGGCCTGGGGGTCGTTAAGAATAGTCTCAGTGCGAGTCAGCAGAGAGCTGCAGTGACTCCTGTGCTCCACCCACTGGAAGAGGCACAAGAGCAGGACCACCCCAAGTGCAGGGACACAGCACACCAGGAGGGAGTGCCTGAGGATTCAGAGTGCCAGCAAGGGGAAGACTCCAGCAGTCTCTGTTCGTTAGGGAGGCCCTCTCCTGCAGCCCTGTCTCCAAAGGACTCCCCTAGCCCGCTGCATTTCCGTCCTCCACAAGCCCCTCAGCCCTTGAGGCTGCCAAGCATTCCTTGGTTTAAATGTGATTTTCCATCCCTCTCAGGAGTGCTGTGCTGCTCTATCCGGATTTCCTTCTATCTCTCTGATGAACCCTTTTCAGGGCAAACTGAGGCCCTCTGCTACTGGTGAGCCCATAAATACTGGCACCCTCAACATTATTTTTATATATTTGGCCCTTCTCTCCTCCAACGAGGGTGGGGTTCCCCAGCTTCCCTCACCTTCTCTCGGCGCCCTGTTGGAGGAGCACAGAGTGCCTTGGCGGCTCAGACTGGACCAGCTGGCTGCTTTCCCTACAGGCTTTCCCCCAAGTGGGGACCCCGACCTCCCAGGCACTGATGACGCTCTTTAGGTTACAGCTGGAAAACACTGAAGGATCAACCATGTCACTCAACAGCATAAACCAGCCCCGCCCTGAGGCAATGTTTTAAACCCTCCTGTCAAGTCCATACCCAGGCCCCTCACTGCCAACACACCGGGGCAGGACATCTCTCCCTGCTCTTGCTTGTGAGGACTCAGGGCCGTCCCCTGCGTGTCGTCCCCTAATGCTCTGCACCGATCACCCTGCACTTCACACTTCTTTCTTTGGAACGCCAGCTGACCTCGCTTTGGGACGGCTCGGGATGGCTGCCACCACTCCTGGGGTGACTCCACCTGCAATTCTGGCTCAACAGAAGAACCGGCATTTTCTTTTTTGTTCAGCCAGAATTCTTAGTGTTCTTATCTACTCCCAGGCCTTATATATTGCTTATGTACTGCTGATTCACAAATCTGTATCTATATTTTTTTCTCCTGGGATCTAAACAAGGACATTCAATCACCCACTGGATATCTCTACCTGTATGTCACCCATTCAACAACAAAAACAAAAAAGGGTTCTCTTGAACCTGTTTTTTCCCTGAATTCTCTATCTCAGTGAATGGTATCATTCTCTACCTAGTCATCCAAGGAATTGAATCTAGAATAATTTTTTAAATTACTTGGATCAAACCATATTTCTTCTAATATACCAAATTCCTTCTTTAGGTATTCATACTTCAATACATAGCAGAAAATTTGGGTCAAACCGTTTTCCCGTGAGACAGACACACACAACACACACACACACACACACACACACACACACACACACCCTTCAAACTCATCACAAACCAGGGAGGGTTATTTATTATTATTTTTTTGAGATGGCGTCTCACTCTGTCACCCAGGCTGTAGTACAGTGGAGCCATCTTGGCTCAGTGCAAGCTCCTCCTCTTGGGCTGAAGCGACTCTCCTGCCTCGGCCTCCTGAGTAGCTGGGATTACAGGCGCCTGACACCACACCAAACTAATTTTTGTACTTTTAGTAGAGACGAGGTTTTGCCATGTTGGCCAGGCTGGTCTCGAATTCCTGCCCTTAAGTGATCCACCTGCCTCGGCCTCCTACAGTGCTGGGCTTATAGGCGTGACCACCATGCCTGGCCAGAAAGGGTTATTTTATTTATGACAGCTAGAGTTTGAGTTTCAACAGATGAATTTATACACGTGATAATATATGTTTGTGAATCTTCTTGAATACATGTATACATTTTAAAAAGTATGTGTGTATATATACATATGTATATAAGCAGTGCATGCATATACCTGTTTGTGTGTAAGTGTGTGTGTGTGTAGAGTTGAGGCTGTGCTCAAATTAAAGGCTATGAGGGAACTTACAGAAATAAAACAGAGAAAAGCAGAACTTCTCTGGCTGAAGAGGCAAGAGCTGTGAGGGGGAGGCAACCATGTCCTCTGCCCCCTCCCCAATCCATCATGGCAACTCTCAAGCACCAGGAACTACAAGGCACCCATTTAACACCCGGAAACCACACAGACGCAGACAGTATGTGGAATGCCTGAAATGGCAACTTCAGCTGAAAATGTGAAGTGTGAAATTCACGTAAATTACACTTTCCTGAACATTTCACATAACAGAGCTCCAAAGCACAGCACAATGTCCTGCACCGCATGCTACAGCATCGAGGCAGGAACAAAGTAATGAGATTTGTGAAACTGTTGTCACACAGTTTAAAACGGTTACTTTCTAGTTGTCGTCTGACTTACAGAGGTCAAGCTGAAGTCCTCATGGATACTTCCAAACAAATCGGGGGAAGAAACATCCACAGAGAGACTGAACATAGAAGCAAGTAGAAACAGTTACAAATAAACCACCCAAATTCAAAAACGCAATGAACTACACGCAAATTTAAAAATGCAGTGAACTATATGGAAAACATTTGGTGAAAGTCACATAACTTTTTTTTTTTTTTTTTTTTTGAGATGAAGTCTTGCTCTTGTCCTCCAGGCTGGAGTGCAATGGCGCGTTCTCGGCTCACTGCAACCTCCTCCTCCCAGGTTCAACCGATTCTTCTGCCTCAGCCTCCTGAGCAGCTGGGATTACAGGCATGCCTGGCTAATTTTTGTATTTCTAGTAGAGACAGGTTTTCACCATGTTGGCCAGGCTGGTCTCAAACTCCTGGCCTCGTGATCTGCCCGCCTTGGCCTCCCAAAGTGCTGGAATTACAGGCGTGAGCCACCGCGTCTGGCCAGAAACTTTTAATAAGTGTTTTAGACTTAACAGTTAACAGCTCAAAGAAGGTACTATGGATAATCTGTGAACACGGGCAACGTGAAATTTAATCCATAATATTAGGGATCTGACTGACAGCAAATTCCTGGTGAAATAATGAGCTAAAAATATGAAATCAAATAAAAGAAAACCTAGAAGAATTAAAAACTTATGGGGTCTCTAGGGAGGTGATAGTTTTATATACTGAGAAGCAAAAGCCAAAACCAGTAAACAGACAAACATGGATAAATTCCCAAATTGTCAACTGAAGATGTAAGAGGCATTTATTTCAGTATTATCTGTGTCAGAGCATAAAGTACACAGAAGTTACACATGCCAAGTATAATTCAGAAAGAACAGATTTCTTAAAAAAAAACACACACACACACAGCACTTTACAATGCTGTCCTATACAACAGCATCATGAAAGAATTACTACATGGATTTGTAAACATCAAGAGTTAACACGTGTCCACTGGAGCTCCAATAACTAAGCTTGACCCAGACATAATTCTACCAACATGCTTAGTCTCTAACAAGAGTAATGGTGCCTTCCCCTAACACCAGACTCGTAAAAATAATCAACTAGGAGTTATATATTTACATTTAATACTTTGTTTATAAAACCTGTTCATTGGATAATAAGCTAATCATGTCTTCAATTTGCTTGATACATCTCTAATAAGGCAAAGATGAGTTGAAAAGATAAACTACAGAAAGAATATAGGTCAAATATTTAAAAAAAATTACTTTAATATGAATAATCTTTCTTTCTTACTAGAAGTCTTAGGATATAAGACCAAGTATAAAATTTGAGCCTGTATTTTTAATTCTCCTAAATGCACTAATGAGATTAGTTTAATTTTTACTTACTGTGTAGTATCTATATCTGCATCAGGCTTGGTGCTCAACTGTTCCAGACAGTATATAAAAACCTAAGTGAAAAAATAAGTTTCAGAACTCTCAGAGGAATGAACTCCTAGATATTAATCTATTTGGACATTAAAGACAACTTTACATGAAGTAGAATTATAGATCCCATTAGTGGTGTGGTGTTGTGTGCGTGCATATGTGTATATACTGTATATGCCCCATTAATGATGAAATGTACATCCCATCCATATCTATCACGTAAGTAATGGAAGATTAGAAGTGCCTATGTTTTGATCAATTATTAAGCTTGTGAAGATATTTTCGGAAAAAGACTTTCCCTCATTCACTCACCCACATTCTCAACTTTCTGTGCCTGCAAAGCACTGGCTCCAAGAACAATACTTTACACCCCAGACAGGACGTGAGCAACTAATTATCACTTAATTTACATTGTGCTCTAACAGAATATATGTGAAGTACCAAGAGAAGACAAAAAAAGGGGAGCATGACATAAATGAAACATTTGGGTATCGCTAAAACAAGTTGGAATTAATCTTACGTTAAACTTTGTTACCCACTTACCCTAAACTATTATGTCCACAGACAAGATGAAAAAAGAATACATATTTAGTGAACATCGTCTGCAGATTATGAATAGGAGAAGGGTTGACTGATACTTAGTATTATTTGAGGCTTTGGGCATTACTGCTTTCAATTATTACCTGCATTATATTAATGCTCAGTTGGCAAACCTCCTCCTGTGTTTTAGGTTGTTGGAAGACCTGCAAGGAAGAATTTTGATTAAACTTTCTGGACTTTGCTAAGAAAACAAGGCTTTTTGTGTATGAAGTTAGATATAAACAGTTAAAACGTGGAACACTGCTTCAGGAGTGGTGTCCTTCCTCTAAAAGAAGGACACGCGTGCAGAGTGGGCCTCCTGGGTGGGTTTCCTCACTGTAGTGACTCGGGCTGGAGACGACAATGCAGTCCTGGGCTGATGGTCAAGAGCCAGGCCCATCAATCGCTGTCCACAAAGTGCTGTCACTGTAACTGCTCTACCTACAATACCTGCACTCACACTTTAACCTGCATCAGCCTGTCTTGGAATCAGACATCAGCACACCTACGTAGTTAAACTAAATGGAACAAGTGAGCAAAGAGGGAGAAAAGATCTTGCAATACGATGAGTCAGAACTTTACAACTGTGATTCCCGAGGGCTCCTGGGAAACTGTGGAGTCCAAGCGGAGCTGGAATACTTACACTGGCCTCTCCCGGCTTACATTCCAGGACCCCCTTCAGCGACTGCAGAGAGCACACGATGCACTGTTCAAACTGACATGGCTGAAGGGAAAACAGCATATCATAAAATTCAAAAACAAGCACTGGCTATGAAAACATATTTAACACAAGTGAATATGGCCCCAAGGTCCACATTTTCCAGATTAATGGAATGGAACAGAAACACAATGTGAAAAGTAAACTCCTAGTCATTGAGTTTTAGGTATGGCATATGTTTTGTACTTCGTATTTTAGAATGAATCAATCTTGAGACTCCAAAGTATATCTAATTCAATTAAAATAAAACTGATTCGACTAAAAATTTTCTTCAAAATTCTACCCTTCTAAGAGGGCAGTACACGATGAGGAGCAGATACAGGGGTTTATATACTGAATGCGGATTCTGAGGTATGTTCTGGGACGAGCTCAGTCTCCCAGATCTTCCACATCTCTGGAACTGTTCAACAAAATTTAATGTTAATAATAATGACCTAGAGGATGTAGAGGATCTTTATATCAGATAGACTGTAAACAGTCATTTTCTAGCTACATTAAGTCAGAAAATGAAACTTGAAAATATGCCCAACCAATGGCATCTCAAGATAAGCTAGAATGAATCTTAGATCCTAAGGGTGTTTGTTTTCACTTTGTGCCAGGAACTACTCTAGGTAAGGAAGATACAGGAGTAAGAAAGACAGAATTCTCATTATGTGTACATTTCAGGCAGGAGACACGACTATGAAAGTCAAAGTTGACAAAATGGTTTAAAAAAGTATAGAAATAACATAATTTAAAATAATAAGTGTCATGAATAAAAGAAGTAGAACTTGGCCAGGCGTGGTGGCTCACGCCTGTAATCCCAGCATTTTGGGAGGCGAGGCAGGCGGATCACGAGGTCAAGAGATCGAGACCATCCTGGCCAACAGGTGAAACCCCATCTCTACTAAAAATACAAACATTAGCTGGGTGTGGTGGCGGGCGCCTGTAGTCCCAGCTACTCAGGAGGCTGAGGCAGGAGAATCGCCTGAACCCAGGAGGCGGAGGCTGCAGTGAACTGAGATTGTGCCATTGCACTCCAGCTTGGGTGACAGAGTGAGACCGTCTCAAAAAAAAAAGAAAAGAAAAGAAGTAGAACTCAGAGACTCAGAGAACAATCATGATGGGGGATCTGCTTTAAATAGGATGGTCATAGAAGGCCCCCAAGACTGTGAAAACATTGACGCTGAGACGGGAAGAGCAAGGGGAACCAGCCCTTTGGGGGAACAGGGAAGGAGAGGAGCAAGTTCTCAGAGGAGGACAGTGTACACAGCCTGCAGAGTGGGCAAGAAACCACCGGCAAAGCAGGACCGCAGGAAGGTTGTGTGTCACAACCACCGAACCTGAGCACAGGTCTCGAGAGATGGGTGGGGCTGGGTTTCATCCGGAGCAAGACACGGAAGGCACAAGGCTCAACCAAGCAGCTGTGTGCAAAGCACTGGGAGTGAGAACCTCTCTTCAACACATGCATTAATTTTTAAAAGAGTTTGGGAAGAAAACTGAAGAGAAGAAAGGAAATGACATCTACATACATCTTTTAAAAGACAAGTTTATTTTCTTATGGAAAGGAATCCAGACTTCATGAAAGCTAAAACAATGTGCCTCAGCTTTAATGTCATGTTATGACTGCACTTGGAAACCACCAGAGGGCATTATAAAGAATACTTAAAAGTGAAAGTACAAAAACAGTAATAAAATAAGAAGTAGAGGATGAAATACCAACTGCACAGAAAGCATTTAAAGAGGTAAAATGTTTGTTAGGTTACTGACCTTACTCATCTAACCTGCCCACCTCAGAAGGTAACTTAAGATGTTATAATGATAAATATTGCTATAATATTGACAATCAAATCTGAGATTCAACCACAGGCCATTACATGTTGATGTTTGGCCAGGTGTGGTGGCTCACACCTGTAATCCCAGCACTTTGGGAGGCTGAGATGGGTGGATTGCTTGAGGTCAGAAGTTCAAGACCAGCCTGGCCAACATGATGAAGCCCCCTCTTACTAAAAATACAAAAAATTAGCTGGGTGTGGTGGTACGTGCCTGTGGTCCTAGGTACTCAGGAGGCTGAGGCAGGAGAATTGCTTGAACCAGGGAGGTGGATGTTGCAGTGAGCCGAGATCATGCCACTGCACTCCAGCCTGGGCAACAGAGCGAGACTCCGGCTCAAAAAAATTAAAAATTTTAAAAAAAGTATGTTGATGTTCATGTGTGGTTGTTTAGATATCTTCTATTATAATTTGGACTCAACTTTCTTATTAATTTTATTTTTATACCCATACTAATATAATAAGTAGAAACAGAATACTAGAAAGTTCAATGAGTGCTTTCGGTTGAACTGGGAGTAGGTGATATCACCTACACGTTCACTATTTCTTTTTTCTCAAAAGAAAGAGGTAGTCCTATCTCTGTGTATTGTCAGTGAGTCATCCAATTTAGATGACTGTCAAAAGTTATCACAAATCATTCCAGTTGTTCTGAAAGAAGAAAATTCTCAGAATCTCAGAATTATCCAAATTGAAAAAAGGCAGAAACCATTTTCAACATGAGAAGAAAACAGGATGCTTTCGAGTGAGCTGTTTCAGAGCTCTGAAGCTCTGTTCAGAGAGTGCCTCAGCCGAGGGACAGTCATAGTGAGGCAGTGCTTGACCCTGGTGTACTTAATGGGATAAGCAGCATTTTCCTATCCCAGGCACAAGGAAAGAAAAAAAGTTTTCCTGTCTCAAACAAATAGGACTGGCACTATGGAAATCTTAAGAAAATATACATTTTCTTAGATTGGTATGTGATAAGAGGTTAGGGTTATACAACTTAAGTCACTGTTCAAAGTCTAAGAATTTTATATACAAGCCGGGTTAAAATACTAATACTCCAAGCTGGAATCTAGACTTGTGCTCTAAGCATTGATTCACCTTTTCTCTTAAGAGGTCCATGCAGAATAGCTAAAACAGACTCAGTGTTATCAGGTCTGTCGTGGTAGGACACTTCTTCAAGGACCTCTGGCTAGACCATGTCTTGGCTGACTCTGGACGTGCTATTTCCTAGGGCTCACTCATTCGCAAGGTGCACTGGGGGTCAGTTCTTTCGTCCCTGCAGACAGTTATGTGGCTTGTGTGAGAGATCAAATGTGAAATTAGTTATTTTATGGTTGCAGTTGCACTAGGATAAAGTTTAAAAATCAACTACAAAGAAGCTTCTACAGTAACTATTTCAGAGCATCTTCACAGAAGCTGAGGTACTACAACCAGGCAAACGAGGTCCCGAGGTCCAGGGAAGCACACACTAGCGGACCACATGCACTGCCCTGAAGAAGGACCTGAAGCCAATCTCTGTTTTATGGCTCAGAGTTACTGAATTTATGGCAGATTTTAAGAATGAGGCATAGGACCTTGACAGCAGACTCTGCTTTCTCAAACTGAACACACAATCTTTTTCCATTTGTGCATAACTGACTTGAGGCAGGTGTGTCTAACCTGCCTGCACCTGTTTCCTCTTGGGCAAGTGATTCAGTGGACAGTGGTCCAATGATCCCTTTTGGCCTGTTTTCAAGCTTGCTATGATAATTAGGATAGGTTTATATAAAAGAGCTCTGAAAATAGTAAACTGAATGTATTATTATCACAGTAGTAAACTGAATGTATTATTATCACAGTAGCCCCAGTGATCACAAGTATTAATTTAACAAATAAAAATCCTTTATGTTTGTCCAGAGCTTTGCAGTTTACCAGGTGCTTTGGTCCACAGGACATCACCGTATCCCAGCCCACAGCACTGTGAAGACGGGCTCTGCTCCTTGTTTACAAACTGAGACTCTAGGGTCAGACAGACCACATGGCTTCTTTAGGATTGAACTAGGTTCGATTCCAAATCAAGTGCAATAAATTTCCTCTTCATACCAGTGCTGCCCAATAGGTGTAGAATGTGAGCCACAAACATAAGCCATGTAAGAAATTTTAGATTTTCCAGTAATTACATTTTTAAAAGCTTTTAAAAAATAAACTCATAAAGTCAATTTTCATATAATCTATTTAATGCAACCTATCCAAATATTACTATTTCCCACGTAGTCAATATAAAAAGTGGAGATGGTTTACATTCTGTCTTTTTGTGCAGGTGGTGCAGGTCCATACCTTTCTCTAGAGATTTAGTGTGAGGGAGAATTAACTACAGACTAGTTGCTCTTTAAATACAAATAATTGTGACAAGTAGAAACCCAACCGATTAAAATTTTCTTTCTTTTATATTTTGAGATGGAAGTTTTGCTCTTGTCACCCAGGCTGGAGTACAAGGGTACAGTCTCGGCTCACTGCAACCTCCGCCTCCCGGGTTCAAGTGATTCTCCTGCCTTAGTCTCCCGAGTAGCTGGGACTACAGGCATGTACCACCATGCCTGGCTAATTTTTGTATTTTTAGTAGAGACAGGGTTTCACCATGTTGGTCAGGCTGGTCTCGAACTCCTGACCTCAGGTGATCCACCTGCCTGAGCTTCCCAAAGTGCTGGGATTAGGCATGAGCCACAGAGCCTGGCCTAATTAAAATATTTTTATAAAATATAAAGCATTTAAAATAGAATGATAATTGACTTATTAGAAATAATAAACTTCCCTAACTCATTTTAAGCATGATTTAATTTGCAAAAAATTGTTAGTAAGCATTGCTTTTCTAAATCACCTTGTCATATATAAAGTAAGGTACAATGATATGTTCATATTAACTTAAGATAGGACCTTGAACTTTGGAGGAATAGAATAAGTCAAAAATTCCCCAGCCCCCAGAAGACGGTCATGAGAAGTACAGTCGGCCCTTCATGCCCCAGGTTCTGCATCTGTGAATTTCACCAGTGGTGGAACTGACTGGATAGGGAGTCCAAGGATATTGAAAGCCAACTTCTAGGGGCTTGAGAATCCTCAGATCTTGGTATCATGAAGGGGTCTGGAACCAGCCTGTGCTGAGGATACCAAGGGACGACTATACAGAAATTCAAGGGAATTTAAAAATACTATGCAGGATCATTGTTTCTTGACAACCTGACTCATCACTGGTTTGTAAATCTGGGCAAGAGTCAAGACCATTTCATTCTAGTTTCCTTATCTGAGGCAGAAACTGCTAGTTGCCTCCTAGAATTGCTATTTCTTCTTCTTCTTTTCTTCTTTTCTCCTTCTCCTTCTCGACACAGAGTCTCGCTCTGTTACCAGGCTGGAGTGCAGTGGCGTGATCTCCGCTCACTGTAACCTCCACGTCCTGGGTTCAAGCGATTCTCCTGCCTCAGCCTCCCGAGTAGCTAAGACTGTGGGCGTGCGCCACCATGCCCAGCAAAATTTTCTATTTTTAGTAGAGACGGGGTTTCAGCATGTTGGCCAGGATGGTCTCGATCTCTTGACCTCATGATCTGCCTGCCTCGGCCTCCCAAAGTGCTGGAATTACAGGTGTGAGCCACCACACCTGACCTATCCTTTTTTCTTAATAAGGTAAGACAGAAAACAGGAGCAGCCACGTGCTCTCCCAGCCTCTGCTGCTGACAGGGACAGGCATGGAATGTGTTCCGACCAATTAAATGGAGAGGCGTTGCGAGCTACGGCTCCTGGGAGGGGACTGGACTTCCTTCCTGACAGCAGCCAGGCCACGAGTGGCCACGAGGCCAGCCTGAGCAGGAGGCAGTGTGAAGGGTCATGGGGAAGGACAGAGGCAGCCCCGGACACTGACTGCATGACCACGCTGCCAGGCTGCTGTGAAGGACAGAAGTCCCTCCCTGGTGAAAGCCACTGGGATGTTTCGGCCGCTGCCTGGCCATCGTCAAGGGCACAGGTACCCACAGGACCGCGAGGAGCACCCGTGAGACAAGTGTGAAAACCTGTGAAATCATGAAGATGACTTTCAAACCTAAAAGTCCCAGCTGAAAAGAAGAAGATTCTAGAAACAGGTGACAGTGGCTGCCTGGCCTGAGAATGTATCTGCAGTGGTCTGTGGTGGTTGTTTTTGTTTGTTTGGTTTGTTTTGGCTTTGGAGCCAGCAGCATCATCTCTTCTATCCTGCTTTTCTGAAAAGCTCAAGTTGCTAAGTAATTCAGAATTAAGCATACTCTGTTTTTAAAAAAGTAATTCAAACAAAAATAGTAAGTTATACAGGATGAAAAAGGTCAACTTTAAAAGAAACCCCACTGTTTTCATTAACTTTTTAATATTTACGGTTAGTGTTAAGCAAAAATGTCTCTGAGAAGAAAAACTTTAAGAAGCTTATATTTATTTCTATTTAGAGCTGCAACATATGGAGCACATGCTCCCTGTTAATATGATAAACCATTTATTCTAAATACACACTAATGACTAATAACTGAAAAGAATTTGAACTTACTAGAGAAGTCAGTCCTTCATTATCAACAATCCAGTCTTCTTTTTCAGCTAATCTCTTTATTTCTATATGAAAAGAAGCACACAAATACGTTTTATTAGAATAATCTCAGTACATTTTATACAGATTAAAAATTTATACAGGTTATGGTTTTTAATTGTTTTATATAATAGGTTTGTAAAAACTTGATGAAAGTAGACAAAGAATATAATTTTGGTAGACTTGAGGATTTAAGTACTTATTGTTCACTGGATTATTCTAATAAGATATTAATGTAAATAAAAGTTTGTACTGCATAGCCCAATTTGGGGAATTCTAGGTTAGATTTAATGACAACTTGAGACAATGATTTACTACTTATTCAGGATTCTTCACAACACTAGACATGTACAAAATAAGTCATACAGTACTTTTTTTCCTAAACTTTCTGATGAATAATTTGGATGTTTTTTGAATCCTACACATTCTTGACAGGGGCAATATGATTCTCAGTTGGCTAAGGGAATGCCACCTGCTCAAACCTTCAGCGTTGGGCAGGCTCAGGTTCCTAGGTGAGGAGGAGGGAATAAACTAAGAGGGGAACATCCAGCTTCTCACCTGGGTTCCATTCCCTTCCCGTTTACACAGTATCACCCACCAATTTTGCAGGGGTGTAAGCTTCCTACCTAAAAAGCCTGGTAGTAGACAGTAATGGCCTGTGCCATTTTAGCAATATTCTTGACTATTTTTGAAAATATTTAATAACCAAAAGGTTGCTTTGTAAAGAAAACCTTTATGTTTTTTATGATTTTAAGGTAGAAAGGCCTGAAAAATTTAAAAAGTATAAAGAAAACAAGACTCATCTATAATTTCTAGAATCCAGAGAACCAATACTAACAGGGTTTCCTTTGACTGGACATTGATTTCTACAAATTAAAATTTTAAAATATACATCCATATATTTTCAAAACTTATATCAGACTTTATGTACATTTTAGACCCTATGTTTTCTACTTAACATTTATCATCAGGATGCTGTTATATCTTTAAACGTTTTCAAGTGTATCCATCTTGGTTTCCGCACGCTCTTAATTCTCAACTAAACTGATTTGAAAACACATCACAAAAAGAAAAACACCCCATTCAGCAGCTAGAAATAAGATGAATTAATATATTCAAATTTCCAGAAGAGTAATTTTCCCTAGTTTTCAAGGATTTGGAAACCGAAAGGAGGTGGCACATGCAGGTAACTGTTGTACAGTAAACATCACCAATTTATCTAAACACACCTTCCGCTGTGTGCTGCAACGTGACCATGACACAACGTACTCGGAGATCCAAAATGAGATCCTGGATGGTTTGTAACAGGTCATTAGGAATTTCAAGGGCAGTCAACGATTCATGAGTAAGTCTGCGAACAAACACATCCAAACAAAAGTGAGCAGAGTGGGATTGCAAAGCAATTCCTAGCATCACGTTCACTGTATAATCATGCCTCATGGAGCTTACAAGCTACAGCATGAGGCTGAAAACAGAAACAGACCACAGCAGGGACTGCACTATAAGAATAATCCTGAGTTAAACAACAGAGAAGATGCATAAACAGAAGAACATTCTCGTCCAACATAAAAACCAGGAACAGTGAGGAACTTAGCTGTCAGATGACGAACAGGAAACAGTGGAGGCAAAAGGACACAGAGAAGGAAAAGAAGAATTTCTTCTTTACTGAACGTATTAAAAATATTCCATACTGAGTATTTTCTTTCCAAAAAGTTAAAAAAGAAAAAGTTCCCCTTTCTCTGAGAATGTGTCCGTATTCACCTTACGGTCTGGATGGCGTGAGCGAGCCACTGTCCGGAGAGCTCGCACTTCACCTCCCAGCCTCCGTACTGCTTGGCTTCCCCATCCCGGATGCTGAGGGGCAGCAGGGCTCCACGGGCCAGCTTCACCAGCGAGTGCATGACTTCCTGAATCATTTTCTAGAAAACCAGGAACAAGCATAACTGCATTCTAATGTAATTAATTGGGTTACATTAACTAAAAGATGCTTCCTGGGCAATAACGGATGTCTTGAATACAAAGTGAGAAAGGAAAAACCCTAACCTTTGAAGAAGCCGACACAGTTATTATCCCTTACTCACCTTAAAATCATTTTGTCTTTGCCTCACATTCTTTGATCTTTCAATCTGACCTGACTTCTCAGCAGTCTTAAAAATTAAAAAACAAAATAAAACGCATTAGAAATAATTTATAAGAATAAGAAATGCTTTAGCACTTGTACATAAAGAGAACATTAAATATGGTTATAACTTGATTAAAAGAAATGCTTAAGACATAATCTATGTTTCTGATTAAAGAACGATTAATTAGAAAACCTTTCTTATCCCAATGAGAAGTTATTTATCTTTCTAAAACCTTTAAGTACAATTCCCATAAATTAATCTAAGAGTTAAGTTGAAACTACCAATTTTATAGGTGAATTTCATCTACCATTTTCATCAACAATGTCGTATGGTTAAACCATCAAGTATCATAGCCATGATAACACTGTCAACATCATTTCTCATTAGCTAGTAAAGAAACCAAAGGAAGCCTAAACTCTGAAATCTGTCATTTTATTTTTAAATACTATAAACTACGGCTCTTCCTTCAGAGATTTTCAGTGTATTTTAGGATAAAATACATTCTATCATTCTAGAATTAATTTTTGTTGGCTTACTGATATAACTCATGTTTTTTTCCAATGTCTCTTTCTCCTTAATCTATGGAAAACTACTTTATATGGACTAAAAGAGAAACCTGTTCAATTGGATTTCAGTGAACTTTTTATTCACAAATTTTCTAACTAAATATTATTATATAAAATACCCTAGAAGGATAAGCCTAGGAAGCTTTCTAAATAAAGAAGCATTAATACAATTACACAATGTAAAATAAAATTCTGACACTTCACTGACATAATGCAAAAGTTAATCTTTAAGGTTAAAACGCTCATCCATTATTGGTTAATGCACAACGAGTCAAGAGACCTTTGAAGTCAAGAACACTTGCTTTATAAATTATCATGATATTGACTTTAATTTTAAAATGCAAGCAATGTTATGTGCATTGTATATATATTTATTTCTGTATATATATTTATTTCTATAAAAACTGCATGTACGGTTAGTTTATATAATGAACATCTCGATGTAAGTAAAATATGGGTTAGGACTGTTGGGCGTTTTCAACAGAACTATCAGACACACCTGACAAAAAACTGGGCAGCACAGACACAGGCATACATCCTTCAAACTCTAGTTTCCATTTTTAAATTTTATATTAAACTATGCAGCTTTTATCATTTTTTTCTTTGTAGAAATACATTTTTGTCTTGAAAGAATTAAAGGTATGTATAAAAACTAAACCTGCAATTCATCTCAATAATCATTCAAAAAGCTAACTCCTGAGTTCATTGGTCAATAACACAATTCTTTGTACCCCAGGGCTTAACTTATACATTGATTTTTCTTTATTTTTAAGACAAATCAGAAGGAGCTGAGGTGTTTTAAGCAGGGGAGTGCTGTGAGGCCCACATTAAGAAGAAGGAATGAAGGGCCAGTGTGGAGCATGACCAGCCAGCAGGAGGTTGCGGTGGCCCAGGTGAGCAGAGCCACGCTGAGAGCGCAGCAGGTGGGCCCTGGTGGCTGAGACAGGCTGCCTGAGGGAGAACCTCCTGCCCTGGGTGCTGCAGTGAGGAAGGAGGTATGCCCAGAGGGACTCCCACCCAACGCGCACCCGCCGGGCTAACACCAGTGGCTCTGAACGTCTGTTCAGCTGGTTTCTGTATGCCCAGTGTGACGACCGGAGTCAGAACATGGCGGGTGGTACAGGGTGTGGACACAGAGCGAATGAACACCCTGTTCGCTGAGGGGACACCTGGCTTCTCTTCTGCACGTTGCAGCTTCTTAGGTCTTAGGCGTGGGTGCTTTTTATCTTTTCTGTCTAGACTGTCTAGTTTGTTCCCATGGCTTCAAATATCATTTCTACCGAATGCCTTCCAAACGCCTGTCTCCAGCCCAAATATCTCCTGTGTGACCCAGATGTGAATACTGAGTAACTCCCAGGAATCTCAGTCGACCACATTACCAATGGAAATCTGAAGCTTCCTCCAAGCATGCTCTTCCTTAGGTCTTTCTGGCTTGGCAAACGGCACTCCTGCTCACTCAAGCCCACTGGGAGCAATGTCAGAATCTGTGCTCTCCTCTCCCTCATCTGACCACTACTTCCCAAAAGCAACCAAACCTACCAACTCCTCTCCACCTCCACTGACAAAACCTTCATCAAAACCACCACTGTTTCCTGCCCGGATGACCTCAGTGGTTTCCCCCACATTTGTCCCCACCAATTCACTGTGAACACACAACCAAAGTGGGTTTTTTAAAACTGGAAAGCTGGTCTGTTCTCCGCCCCATGGCCTGGGATGAAGCCGCCGCCAGCTAGGCCCGTCCCTGCCAGCCCTCCCGCTGCTCAGGATGCTTCTGTCCGTCGGGGCTTCCTTCCTTTTCTGATATGCTGAGCTGCCCTCCTGGTGCTGCAGGCATCCTTCTCGCTGCCTGGGACCTGCTGCCCTGCCGTCCTCTGTGTGGTTGTGTCCTTCTCTTGTGCCACATGTCAGTTTCAATATCACCTCCAGGGAGGGGCCTTCCCTGACCTCCATTCCATTGCTGATATTCTGTCTTACAACCCTATTTGTTTCTTTTATAACTGTTACCAGAATTTTTAAAATAATAATTTAAAAAAATTATTTGGGTTCTGTCGCTAGAAGAGGAAAGGTCATGCTTATTTTGGTGACTGTTTTATTCATATTGTAGATACGTATGTGTGTAAATGTATGTGTATGTCTACATATTGAGTGTACATGCATGCATTTACACACGTGTTATATTACGTTTACATACGTGTTATATTACGTTTACATACATGTAAACATGTGTACATGACGCGTTGTGTCTGTTGTGTGTGTGCATGCATGTGTGTGCATGTGTATATAATGTGTGGATGCATGCATGCATGTGTGTCTCAGTACCTGGTCCCTGGTGAATAAATGATCGCCTAGGGTTAAGGTTCTCCAAGACCTACTTGAATACACTTAAGAAAGTGTAAATGCCCTGAATACACTGGGTCTCCACATGAGAGTGGCCCTGGGAGGCAGATGTGCCAGGAGTGACCCTATGACATGCTCCTGAAAAACCTAACACGCCCAGTTCTTCTCCCGGAGGTGAAGATGTTGGGATGAGCAGAGACTGGTGAGCTTTGTGTGGAGGTCGGGGGTTGGGAGGACTGCTTTGCTTGTTGAATTCAGACACTGCTGTGGAGCCCAGCACCTGCTGGAATGTCAGGAGCTAAATCTTTGTCAAGGACCTTGTGAAGATTAATTTTGTGTCATCTTGGCTGGGCCACAGGGTGCTAGACGTTTGGTGACACATTACTCTGGGTGTGTCTGTGAGTTGTTTCTGGATAGATTAACACGCACATCAATGCACTGTGCACAGCAGAACCTCTCCTGGATGTGGGTGGGCCTCACTCAATCAGTTGAAGGCCTGAACAGCACAAAAGAGCTGATCCTCCCACGAGTCAGAGGCACTCCTCCTGTCTGACTGCCTTCAAGCTGAGACACTGGGCTTTACGTGCCTTCACAGCTGAACTGAAACATGCGCTCTCCTTAGGTCTTGAGCCAGCTGGCATTCAAACTGGAACTGACAGCATTGGCCATCCAGCTGGGCAGTGCATCCTGCAGACCCTTGGGGCTTGTCAGTCTTTGTAATGACATGTGCCAACCCCTTACAATAGACCTCTTCGCGTATGTGTGTGTGTGAGTGCAGGTACAGCATAGGCACCCTATTGGTTCTGTGGCCCTGGGGCCCCTGACTCACGCGGACCGGCTCCACGGTGCTGCGGAGGGAGGCACAGGCCAGAATAAAACTGCGAGTGTCTGTCAAAGGGCATTTCCTCTGCTTGTATCCTCCACAGCACCTGATACCAAACTTTGTACATAGTAAGACTGTGCAATGGGAAGATTATTTCATAGTCATTTGTTCTATTACACACTTTTAAATCAAAGAAAAGAGTGAAAATCTGTTGTTAAAAAATATATAAAAATTAAGGCTAAATTTTGCCACAACAATTGTGCCCAACAAACAAGTGTTCATGATGAAATCTACTGGACAGTAATTCTGTAAAATTCAAGGACTTGTCTCCAAATATATGAAAAGTGGGGGGGGGGGCTAGTTGTGTGGCAGACCCCTTTCAGTTGTTACTTACTGTTTTAATTTAATAAAGAGTTGAATATCTCCAACACAATGGATTATGTAAAGTTTGCCCTATTTTTAAAAGAAAATCTAATTTTGGAATATGTAGGCATTTTAATTTGCATATTATTGAGTTATGTAACTTTTTAAAATGTTGACTCTTAATATTTAACAATTATTTGGCTATTTTTAAAGATTTTTATCTAAAAATACACTATATTTAAAATATATCTAAAGGTGAGATCTTAACCTACTATTAACCATTTCGTTAACTAGAAACCTTAACTCTTTCCTGCACACACAGACCAAAACTACTTTGTGGTGAGAGCAACGGATGGATTTCACTGTTTTGATTCACATTTGTTACTTCACATGGCCTTCACTGGCTTGAAGAACTGACTATTTTTTAAACTGTTGGAAACTTCATCTGAATTTTTAACGGATGGGCTCTTAATACAACACGATAATTTTATCACAAGAAAAATAAGAAAATTCAAGTAAACTGTGTTTAAAAACTATCATGCTTTCTTGTGTGAGATTAAATAGCTATCAAAAGCCCCAGAACTCTTCCCAGAATTTAACCCAGCATCTGGGTTTCACTTGTAGACTGGCAAGGGGAGCAAGTGTCCCCAGCTCCTCTGCTCTTTCCTCCAGCTCTTCAGAAGAGAGCACACGGTTTCAGACATGCCCACATCTGCAGAGCACATTACGTGTAATTAATAATTACTGCTATACGCTTTACGTTTATAAACATAGGTAGAAATATCATAGGCATATCCAATTCAGCACAACCAACCAAGAGTCATTTTTTCATGTCAACATTAATGTTGTGCATGAGTTCTGAAGCAGATCATTTATTTTTCATCTACAACCAAATATTTCATTCATATGTTTGCTATATAATTAGGTATCATCTGTAAGAAAGCAAAACATACTCCCTTTTCACTAAAATATCCTAGATCAAAAATTCTTAGGAATCTTATGACTCAAAAAAACTGCAGGGAAGGCAACTACTGTCCATGTGTGGTGGGCCACCTGCAGGAACTGATGCGAACGAGGGAAAAACACTGCTGGAAATAAACACTAGGGTTTAAAATCCATGTCCTAAAAGACTGATCCTTTTTTTTTGGTTTTTTTTTTTTTTTGAGACGGAGTCTCGCTCTGTCGCCCAGGCTGGAGCGCAGTGGCGCGATCTCAGCTCACTGCAAGCTCCACCTCCCGGGTTCACGCCATTCTCCTGCCTCAGCCTCCCGAGTAGCTGGGACTACAGGCGCCCGCCACCTCGCCCGGCTAGTTTTTTGTATTTTTAGTAGAGACGGGGTTTCACCGTGTTAGCCAGGATGGTTTCAATCTCCTGATCTTGTGATCTGCCCACCTCGGCCTCCCAAAGTGTTGGGATTACAGGCGTGAGTCACAGCGCCCAGCCCTAAAAGACTAATTCTTTAGATGAGTTGATTCATCTTGACATTATTCAATTCTACTCCAGCAGTTCATCAGTCTACTATTTTCTAATGTTACAAAATTCTGTTCACTGAACACCTATTGTGTGCCAGGCCAATGAGATCTCAAATAGTGGAAATACTGGAAAAAATTTTATTCCAAATAATAAGAGCAAACTCTTACTTATCTGCCAGACATTATTATAAGCACTTCACTTATGCTAACTCACTGAATTCTCAAACCAGCCCTATGGAAGTAGGTGCAGAGAAGTAATTTGCCTAAGGTGATAGACATTGGATGCTTCCATTATGCTCCTAGTGTTCTATGTGAAAACCTATGAATGCCATCTGTCCAAAGGCATGACAGGGAAGCATCTAATCTTTCCTGCCCATATGAACAATTTGGTTTAGGAACAGAGCAGACAAGGAGAGGAAGCCGGTGCCTGCGGTGCCACTACTGCCACTGTGCAGATGGCAAGGGACCCGATGCTCGACCTCGGCACGGTGAGCCCCACAGCTCACCCAGCGGACATTCACAGAGGCACAAACTGATGGTGGCACACACAAAAGCAGAGTACTGGAAAAACGTATCAGGACAAAACTGAAATTAAAGTATTATCTTCCTAAGCCAGCAATAAGCAACTCTCATGTATGTAGACCTGTGAAACCTGACATTTGTTTCATGGAAGAACTTCCTCTGCATAGTTAACTTTTCAATAGAGTTCATGCATAACTAACAAAAAAAAGAAAGTTGTGTACTGCTTTAATATTTGAATGTTCACTTATAAAGTAACCGGTTACTGAAACTAAAGAAAAAAATGCATTGATAAGTTGTGCTTACCAGATTGGTTTTTCTGCACTAAGGAGTGTGTATTCACGCATTACACATTTCTCTTTTTACGCACATAGTAAATTTTATAGGTTGGCAAACCAACCACTCATATAAAGAAGGCGGCAGGAATACAGTGGGTTTACAACAGGGGTAGTAGGCACTTGGAGTTCAAATATACAAAGAAAAAAGTTCCAGAGCACATCTCTATTTTCTTAACAGCATGAATTTATGTTCATGGTCAAATGAGACTCCAGAGACACCTGAGGTGCTCCAACACTTAGCCACTTTCCGCCAAGGAGGAGAGGTCTTAAACCACAAAGCCTGTGCCTTTATGCAAAAAAAACAAGAACAGTTTTAGCCTTTGTCCATGTCCACTTTGTGTGCTGCCAAGTCAAAAAGAAGCAGAAAGTAGCCGTTACCCTCAGAAGCCCCATCTCCCCCAGAGCTCCTGGCGTGCAGAGTTCTCCCACAGACACGAAACACCTATCTTCTCAGTCCCCCAGGTGCGGTGCCCTTGGCAGCCTGGGGCAAAGGGCGCTAGAATCTACGTCCAGGAGCTGGAGGCCTTTCAGGGCGCACTTGAGGTGAGGTTAGAAAGTGACTGACTTGCACGTGCCACACATAACACTCAGAAACATTCCTTTATGTCCTTCTCTGCTACCAGTCATATGAAGATACTAAAGCATTAATAAATGTGTGACTGCAGAAGATGGATGGGCTTATAAAAACTTCTGTAAGCTGGTAACAGCGGGGCTAGATTGCAGAATCTTCACATTCTTTCCAAAGGAAATTACACATTCTATGGATTACTTTGTTCTGGGTGCAGGCTGCCAAGGTGTTATCCTCGTTTCATCATTTGTTCACAGTCTACCGCACATCACCCAGAATGGGGCCTGACTGGCATTATCTCAATTCAGAGTCCCTGAAGAGTTCAAGCTTTCTTTTTTCTGTAATTGCCTATCTCATTTAATCCCTACAACCACCTTTTGAGACAGATGCCCAGACTATTCTCTTTTTGCACATGAGGAAAAGTGACTTGTTCAAGGTCATATAGCTACTAAGTGACAGGGCTTTATAACACTTTAATCTTAAACTATGACGATGGCTAGAGATGTTGGGCCTCTACATTTTAAAAAATCACTTAAATCTAACATTTTTAAGACCAGAAATGCACAGTGACTCAGCTCCACCTCTAATCGGGTCCGTATACACACCTCACTGAAGAGGCTTCCGTTAACGTAGGAGATCCAGAGCTTCCAGAAGTTAGGCAGCTGGCTCAAGACGAGTTTGGTCAATTTTTCAACAAAGGCCACCCTGTGGGGAGTTTTGTATCTCCACGCTAAGGAGGAAAAGAATAAAATACTATGATTATACTTTTGAATCAAGAAAACATCTTTGAGCATATTGGTGCACCCCCTCCACCCCCCGCCAAAACTCAAACATGCACTAGGAATAGCCTGAGTCTGCGTGGAAGCTCGCAGCCCACTTGGCTGACACTGGCAGCGATACGCTCGTCACCAGACACTCCCGCTTTCCTCCTTGCCCTCTGGCAAGGAAAAGCCCCTCCCCATCACGGCTGACCAGCAGGCCAGGGCGAGGGACCAGGTGGCCATAGCCTCAGGACTGGGAGGGCTACCGAGAGGAGGTGGCTTTGACTTGTCAGCCTTGTCCTCTGGATAGTATATGTCTCTTCAAAAAGTCATGCCTTCCAACGGCAAAGGCAGGGGCTGCTCTGCAGTCAATTGTGAAATTCCAGCTAATATCAGCCTGTGAGAAATGCCATCATACACCCTAGAAGTGAGAATGCAGGGAGGCATCCAGTCGTCACAAAGAAACATTCAAGTGCCATCACACACTAAATAACCCCGCCTATAATCAAGAAATTTAAGAAAAACTAGAAACGTTGAAACCTCTTTGGCTACACATCATTTAACACAGCTATTGTTGTAACTGGGAAATGAGGGCTTAGACTTCTTGGGAAGAATAGGTTCATGGGAATAAAGCAAGTGTAGAAATTCAGGACCCACTACCCATCTCCTCTGTCTCCCCTCTTTCTTTTTACCCCCAGGGCCATGCCTTCGCCCTGCTCCCTCCCAGCTGCCTCCTGCCCCGCACTCTACTCGGTGGCCACGGCAGGGGCACTGCAGAGTCCACCCTGTCCAGTCCACTGCACAGCAATGCCGCGGATCTGGCTCTAACTCCTACTCAGCAGCTTCAGGGGCAGGTGGACTCCCTCGAGAACTTTTATTCCCTTGGCCAGGCTAACTGCTAGCTTCCTTTCCAAATACCCTCAAGCAAAAGGATTTGCTGTTGTTAGTCCAGTGAAGGAGGGGCAAATTTTATAAACTATCTTAATAAAATTTATGTATATTTATTACTTTATATACTTATAAATTATTAATATATTTATTAATTTATGTAATTATTTTATTAATGATTTAATAATTTAAATAGTTATTTGATCAGGTAATAATGGTTAGAAAATAACACTTGAAAGGTACACAGTGAAAAGTCTACCTCCTGCCCCACCACTCCCACATGCCTAGTTCCCAGCCAGAAGAAACCACTGTCACTAGTTACTTATGACTCTTTCTGAAATGCTTTTTATCTACACAAGCAAGTATAAATGTGTTATTCCCCCTCCCAACTGTTCTTTACACGTTTTTGGTTTTTACACAAATGAAAGCATGCCAAACACACTCTTTTGAAGCTTGGCTTTTTCCATTTAGCGAGATGGATCCTGGAGTTCTTCTGTATTCAAACATAAGGCAAAGGCTTCCTCTTTTTCTCCCCACAGTTACACTGCCTTTCACATTTTGGAGGTATCGTAATTTAACAAGTTCCCTTCCAATGGACAAGACTGTCTTTGGTCTTTTGCAATTAAAATTAATGTTTCAACCAATAACTGTATACCTACATCATTTAGCACATGCTCAAGTGTAAGCGTAGAAAACTTCCAGAACAAGAACTGCTGGGACGAAGAGCACCTGGAGTTGTAATTTTGATAGATATTACTGAACTGCCCCCTAAAGGGGTTATGTATACTTCCACCAGTGTGACGTGTGCAAGTAGGGGCCTCATCAATGAACAAACAACATAGAAAACCCAAAACAAAATGATAAGCACTCAGAGTTTTTGCCAACCTCATATCTCATTGCAGTGTTACACTCCCTTTCTTCTTACTATTGTGAGGTGGAGTGTCTGTTCACACGTGTAAGGACCGATAACACTTCCTCTGTGTAGGCTCTAGAGCCTCTTATTTATTTATTAGGCATATTAGCCCTTTGTCTATGCTAAGAGTTGCAGGAAAAAGTTTTAAATTCATTTTCACAGGTGTGAAAGTAATGGTTCTTTACTTAAGGGCACACTGTAAACTTTTATTTGTTTATTCAGACAATATTTACTGAGGATGAACCGTGTGCTTATCATGTGGCTCCACTCAAGATCAAAACTCACTCTGAACAAGGCAGGCTCCTGAATGCTGAACTAGGCAGGCTCTGCCTTCACAGCTCAGGATCCAACAGAACAGTCAATTAACCAATTGAATACAGCACGATGGTAATCTGAGGTGAACGAGTTTCATCTGGAGACAGCAGTTACAGTCTCTTCTTCCCAACAGTACTTGGTAACGCCTGTTTTCCAGATGGCAGGTGGCAAGACACAGGGCGAGGCCATGGCCGGCTGTGTCAAGGGTCCAATGACAAGGTGAAAAATAGGACAAGAAAATCTAAAAATGGAAGCACTGAAAGATTTGCCTTTGACTGATTTGGATGTTTGTCTCCACCAAATCTCATGTTGAAATGTGATCCCCAATGTTGGAGGAGGGTCATGGGGGCAGGTCCCTCATGAATAGCTTGCTATCCTTGCAATAATGAGTGAGTTCTCGCTCTGTTAGTTCACAGGAGATCTAGTTGTTTCACCCATTTCCCGTGTGCCCTGAGAACACTCTTGTCTCTAATCCTAATGGAATGCCATATAGATTTCTGTTACATCAGGATTAGAGACGCGTTCTGTTGAGAAATAATTCCAAGAACAGTTTTTATATTTTGTTTTCACATTGAAAATCAGCGAGATTTGCTTCAGCCTCACAGAGTGTGTTTATGTGAAATTAAGTGAGCATCAGCAGTGAGCTGCACCTTTTTCCCTAAATAGGAAACGGGTTAAAAGGGCCTGGTGTCTCCATCCTCTCCCTCGCTCCCTCTCCTGCCATGTGACAAGCTGGCTCCCCTTTCGCCTTCTGCCATGACTGGAAGCTTCCTGAGGCCTCCCATAGCAGATGCCGGTGCAATGCTTCTTATACAGCCTGCAGAACTGTGAGCCAATAACCCTCTTTTCTTTACAACTACCCAGCCTCAGTGTTCCTACCCAGCCTCAGTGTTCCTTTACAGCAACACAAACAGGCTAACACAACTTAATATTGCAGCAAATGGATTCTTATATGGTATCTTTCCCAAGAATAACGTTTCAAAAGATCTCAGCTCCTCTGTGCAATTACATTGAACATTATGTAACGTTAGCCACTGTCCCACAGAATGTAGGAGCAAACAGTTCTGATCTAACATTGTTTATTCTAACGTTCGGTGAGCTGGGAGAGGAACGAGAATCAGACAAGAAGAAGGAATACCAACAGTTATGGAAGCCTTTCATTTAGTACAAATAAATCATCCAACTTTAAGGTGCTCTTATGATGAACATTCATTTATATTAATAAAACCTTAGAAAAATTCCCTACTGCAATGCTTGTAAGAATAAGACATTTTAAACAACTTTAGAGGTATCTGAATTTAATATAATGTAAGATATTTCTGTTAGTGTATTTAGGTTTCTTGTATCTGTTATTGAGATCACAACCGGCTCCTGACTAGTGGCTCTGATTGGGTGCATGAATGCCTGAAAGTCAATCATGTTGTATCTCAAATAGGGAAACGGTAAATATCCACTCCAGAAAGTTCAGAAATGAAACATACTTAAAATTCTAGATGCTTCATCTTAGGAAAAATTATTAACAATTATTTTATGGTTAATTAACAGCCAATCCCTCTTTCCAAACCAAAGTTTAAATTTCATCAAAAACGGTATGCTGATACTACTTTTGTTGCAAATTCCATCTTAATGCAGTTCTCACAGAATTTTCTTCTGTGGCATTTTAAAAAAATTCAACCACAGAAAGAGTAAAATTAGACTTGAACTAAATATGTTTAATAAACACTGACCTGCACCCAATGACTTAAAAATCAAGTAGCATTTCTTTAAATGCAGTATATACTTTAATTATTAAATTACTGGTAGTTACTATAACAAGCAAAAGAGATGATGGCTGATAATACTTAGCACTGGTAACAACACAAATTGGGGAATTCTCCAAGAGATGAATGTTTGAAATTACATGAGTACAAATTTAAAGGACCCAGTGGCAGTAGAGGGAGATACTTACTGTCGTCTCGACCAGACTGAAAGCTGCTGCCTCTCTTCAGGGACGCTGTCTGACTGAGATGGCCCAACATTGAGGGACGTGTGTCATTATCGAGATCCAGCATGGGGCTGTGCAGGCCTGGGTTAGCTGGGGAAGAAAGCAGAGATTTCTGTAGGCTCTATGTATTCTTGCTTAGTTGATTTAATGGACTGCTTCTCTGAGGCTATTTCTTGCTCAATTGCTCCACTCTTAAATAAAGCAGTTATTAAATAAAATTAAAAACTATTTTCTCTAAATAGATTTAAAAAATAATTCTCGGTTCGGCAAAACTGGGTGGTGGTGGGAGGATAAAGCTATAAACACAAAAAGTAGCAGGAAAAAATCATATTTTGCAAAACAACTTTTGGCACTAGGAAAGAAAGTAATGGAGTTCGGACTCTTCTGTTCCTTTAAATGTAGCTGACTTACACATTTTTGTAGCATAAATCTCCCCTGACTTCTCCCTTAATGCCACACTTTACATTTAAATCCCCAAATCCCACTATTTGTTTCTTGGACACATGTGATTTCACTCCCTATTGCTATTCTTGACGCCAGTCATCTAGTGTGGATCCTCTTCACCTCACACTTCGTATTCCAGAAGCCAGAACATTCTACTGCTATCAAGAAATTGTCTTTATTGTCTCACACTCAAATACTGCTTTTTTGATTCTCTTCTCAGAGGTCTTCCAGAAAACCGCAGGATAAAGTCTACCCCAATGTTTTCCAATCCAAATTAGGCTGAGAATTAGGAAACAATTTTTCTAAAATGGATCACAAAAGCCATTAGGAATAGAATTCCATGTTGCCAAACCAGTTAGTAAGGACATTGGCTTGAAGTGGTAAAATTTACCTTGTTAGTCTACAACACCACTCTAAGCTCTTTAGCTGAGTATTCAAAGAGCTTTAAAATAAATTGAATTCAATGTGCATTCACAGAGTATTTACAGTAGTGTGCACAGGACACTTAAATACTTAAATATTCTCCCTACAAAAATGCACCTTACATTTTCCTGCCTTATTTGCTATCCTCTCTATTGGAAGGGCCTCACTCATTTTTTTCCTCTTCATCCATTTAAACCCACATCCTGAAAGACACCACTTGAAATACAGCTATTACACAAGGTCAAGGTCACCTCTTACTCATCTACCTAAAGTGCTACCTATATTTTCTGCCCTGTGACAGCAGGGAGAATGTATATAATTTAATTGACTTCACATTCTACCGTCTGCAGTTCATTAACAGCTACGTATTGCCTGTCTCCACCAAAGACTGCTGTTTTCTCAGGGATGAGAAGTAAATGTATCTCCATGTTCCCCACAGTCACTGGACCTTCCACAAATAACTCCCGCCACATGTAGTAAGTGACTGACACTAAAAAATATATTTTTTATTTTATAACTGAATAGAATATTAAAAGCGTATGGATTTGTTTTCAGGTGCTAATATAAAACATATTTACAAATTAAAGTAGTATTTTTGTGCCTCTGATAATGCGAACTATTCAGTAACATTTAACAGGTATTTACTGAGCACCCTCCCACATGCGAGGAACTGCAGGCCCGGGGATAAAGTGATGAATAATATCTAAGGCCCTGCTCTCAAGATGTTTACATTCTGGTGGTAGAGGCAGAAAATAAACCAGCAGATAATAAACAACAAAACTATAGCAAAAAACCGCTGAGCAGTGGAGGTAAATAGTGACTGTGCGGTGAGAAAAGGCCTGATCCCGGTGAGGCCGCTGGACGAGAAACGCTATCGCCTCTCCGGATCCTCACAGAAAAGGCCTGATCCCTGAGAGGCCGCTGGACGTGAAACGCTATCGCCTCTCCGGCTCTTCACAGAAAAGGCCCGATCCCGGAGAGGCCGCTGGACGAGAAATGCTATCGCCTCTCCGGATCCTCACAGAAAAGGCCTGATCCCTGAGAGGCCGCTGGACGCGGCGCTATCGCCTCTCCGGCTCTTCACAGAAAAGGCCAGATCCCTGAGAGGCCGCTGGACGCGGCGCTATCGCCTCTCTCCGGATCCTCACAGAAAAGGCCCGATCCCGGAGAGGCCGCTGGACGAGAAACGCTATCGCCTCTCCGGATCCTCACAGAAAGAAAAGGCCGATCCTGAGAGGCCGCTGGACGCGGCGCTATCGCCTCTCCGGATCCTCACAGAAAAGGCCCGATCCTGAGAGGCCGCTGGACGGCGCTATCGCCTCTCCGGATCCTCACAGAAAAGGCCCGATCCCGAGAGGCCGCTGGACCGGCGCTATCGCCTCTCCGGATCCTCACAGAAAAGGCCCGATCCCTGAGAGGCCGCTGGACGCGGCGCTATCGCCTCTCCGGTCCTCACAGAAAAGGCCCGATCCCTGAGAGGCCGCTGGACGCGGCGCTATCGCTCTCCGGATCCACAGAAAAGGCCCGATCCCTGAGAGCCGCTGGACGCGCGCTATCGCCTCTCCGGATCCTCACAGAAAAGGCCCGATCCCTGAGAGGCCGCTGGACGCGGCGCTATCGCCTCTCCGGATCCTCACAGAAAAGGCCCGATCCCTGAGAGGCCGCTGGACGCGGCGCTATCGCCTCTCCGGATCCTCACAGAAAAGGCCCGATCCCTGAGAGGCCGCTGGACGCGGCGCTATCGCCTCTCCGGATCCTCACAGAAAAGGCCCGATCCCTGAGAGGCCGCTGGACGCGCGCTATCGCCTCCCGATCCCCAGAAAGCCCCCCCGCTACGCCTCCCTCCGGATCCTCACAGAAAAGGCCGATCCTGAGAGGCCGCTGGACGGAACGCTATCGCCTCTCCGGCCTCACAGAAAGGCCCGATCCGGAGGCCCGAGAAACGCTACGCCTCCGCCCACAGAAAGGCCGATCCCGAGGCCGCTGGACGGCCTATCGCCTCTCCGGATCCTCACAGAAAAGGCCCGATCCCTGAGAGGCCGCTGGACGGCGCTATCGCCTCTCCGTCTCACAGAAAGGCCGATCCTGAGAGGCCGCTGGACGGACGCTATCGCCTCTCCGGCTCTCACAGAAAAGGCCCGATCCCTGAGAGGCCGCTGGACGCGGCGCTATCGCCTCTCCGGATCCTCACAGAAAAGGCCCGATCCCTGAGAGGCCGCTGGACGCCGCTATCGCCCTCCCCCCCGAAAGCCATCCGGAGGCCGCTGGACGGAACGCTATCGCCTCTCCGGTCCTCACAGAAAGGCCCATCCCGGAGGCCGCTGGACGGCGCTATCGCCTCTCCGGATCCTCACAGAAAAGGCCCGATCCCTGAGAGGCCGCTGGACGCGGCGCTATCGCCTCTCCGGATCCTCACAGAAAAGGCCCGATCCCTGAGAGGCCGCTGGACGGCGCTATCGCCTCTCCGGCTCTCACAGAAAGGCCGATCCCGAGAGGCCGCTGGACGGAAACGCTATCGCCTCTCCGGATCCTCACAGAAAAGGCCCGATCCCTGAGAGGCCGCTGACGCGGCGCTTCGCCTCTCCGGATCTCACAGAAGGCCGATCCTGGAGGCGCTGGACGTGAAACGCTATCGCCTCTCCGGCTCTTCACAGAAAAGGCCTGATCCCTGAGAGGCCGCTGCACGCGGCGCTATCGCCTCTCTCCGGCTCCTCACAGAAAAGGCCCGATCCCTGAGAGGCCGCTGGACGTGAAATGCTATCGCCTCTCCGGATCCTCACAGAAAAGGCCCGATCCCGGAGAGGCCGCTGGACGTGAAACGCTATCGCCTCTCCGGCTCTTCACAGAAAAGGCCCGATCCCTGAGAGGCCGCTGGACGTGAAACGCTATCGCCTCTCCGGCTCTTCACAGAAAAGGCCTGATCCCGGAGAGGCCGCTGGACGCGGCGCTATCGCCTCGTCCGGATCCTCACAGAAAAGGCCCGATCCCTGAGAGGCCGCTGGACCCGGCGCTATCGCCTCTGTCTGGATCCTCACCGAGTCTCGCTGGTGGGTCTTCAAAAGAAATTAAATCATTTGAACAAATTTTTTTAGTGCAACAGAAATTTTTTTGAAGACTTATTATGTTTTGGCCACTGTGCTAAATAAATGCTGTGCATACATTTGTATTTTGGAAAATATTACAGCCAAGATAAGAAGACTTATATAACCCATTATGTTACAAAAAAAAATGTGATACAGAGTAAAAAAATACAGTGAAGAAAGTATTATTTTTCTAATTGACTTTTTTCATACAGAAATACATTTGTGTGTGGACGTTTTAGTGATTTATGATATTTTCCTTTGAAGTTTATACAGGTATCACTTCTATCAATTGTGGGATTCAGGAAATGAATATCAAAATATGAATTTTCTAACATACTTTAAAGAGAAAAATAAAGGGGCCCAAACTTAGCATCACATTAAAAATACATATAAAAACTTATAATTTATATTAAAATGTACATTTTTAAAGTATAAAAAACACTTTAAAATGTTACATTTCACTTATTCTTGAAGGTTTCAGGACTATGAATTTGTGATTAAGAAGGAAAACACTTCCTAGTTTCCTAAAAGTACACATATACCATTTCTGCAAAAATACAATTATTTCAGAAAAAGTTTTCTCCTCATAACTGGTATTTGTGTAACTTTAAATTGTTTAATATTAAACCATTTGTATAGTTTAAATACATCTTGAGTTTTGCAATGGTTAAAAGATTGATATATTTTTTCCTTTAATAACAGAAACTGTATTACTATGCTTTTGTTCTATTAGAAAGCACATCATCAGTTTTCTGTATCAGGAAAAGAAAGGTAACCAAGAAGGAATTTTCCAGTTGGTGCCCTGGCACTACCATAAGTACAATACAGCAGCAGGCAGCTGGAACAGCACATGCCCCTCAGGACTAACCAGCATCTGGAATACATTTGGAAGATGTATTTTTGCTGAGTGTCCAGAAGGTAGCGCTTCACAGCTGCACACAAATGCATAATATGCCCTGTCAACTAAACAGTGGGTACCAGCTTAGAAATGTATATCTCTCCCTAACACTGGCATTTTTCTTACTGTCAAAAAATGATCTCAGAAAGAGTTATTTTATAGAGAATTAAAAAGCTTATGTTTTGAAAAGTAATACAAACGTTTTAAATATCAGCTGTCACAAATTATTTATGACCAAGTGT